TTCATCTGATCAGAGCACAGTGCTCAGCGTCCTAATGGAGCTGGAGTGTCCTCCTCCCGCAGGACTGATTTATGGTGTCAGTGTGGTGGCGCAGGCCCAGGCCTGCCTGGGGCTCTGTCCAAGTCCAAGATGAACCCATTGCCTCCTCCTGGCCCCCGGGCAGTGGTGTCAGGACCCAGGGAGTAAAGGTGACAGGTGGAGCCTCCTGCCTGGTCCACCTTTGTTCCTTGTGTGACCCCAGCAAGTCCCTTAACTCCCTGTGCCTCTGCCGTGCAAGTCACTTGGTGTCCAGGGGATGGAAGGACAGACTGCAAGTACAGAGCTTCATGGGGCACACAGATCAGACAGTGGTGATATGGGCAGTGGCCTGCTGGTGGCCAGGGCCCTCCACTCTGTTCCCCTGAAGCCCACCAAGACCCAGAACACAGACAGGACACAGAGGCCTGGGGGTATGTGAGCTGCCGAGGTCTCAGCTAGGAAAGCCTGGGGTGGGGGAAGCTGTCAGGTGTCCATGGGTGACGGCCACCCATCCCAGGGTTAAGGGGAGCTGCAGACCTTGGGTGGTCAGGACTCTGCTGTGGGTGTGCAAAAGGACCTGACACTTGCACACCCAAAGGGCCAAAGCACTCACTCCTCCCTGGGAGCTCAGAAATGACGGCCATATGGCTCTTCTGGCCTCCAACATCCTCAGGAGGCTGCATTGGCCCAGCCCAACCTGAAGGGGCTCCAAGTCTCCATGTCCCTGCCTGAGTGCACTCAAAGAGCAGGAGCCCAGGGTCACAACTAGCCAGTGATCAACCTCCAGGGCCTGCCAGTAGACTCCAGCCAGTCTGGATCCTGACTTCCCTTATACAGCTGTGTGGCCCTGGGCATGCCTGTTGTCCTCTTGGGCCTCAGTTTCCCCACCATGGGGTGTGGATCAGCCCTGATTGTCCCGAAATCCCAGGGGTCTCTGCCAGCATGCTCAGCTCCAGGAAGATTTCTCCTGGCCCCAGGCCAGGGCTCAATACAAAGCCATTCTGCAAGTGCCCCCTCCACTCCCACCTGGCATTTCAGACCCTAAACTGGTATAGAAAACACCTTCCCATCATGCGCCAACCCACCTACCCACCGCACGCCAGAGAGCTGCCACAGAGCTTTCCACTTTCACTATAAAAAGACACCTTGCAGGGTGGCGCAGCGTCTGTGCCCCTGCTCCTTCTAATCTAAACACACAACAATGTGGTCATTTGAAGACTGAGGACGCTGGGGGATGGGCATCACATGCAGCCTGCCCCCACGGTGCTGGGCGACCCCGAGCAATAAGGGTGGCTCTACTGTCCTCATTTTACAGATGAGGAAACTGAGGCGCAGAGAAGTCCTGTTGCTGGCCTGTGGTCACAGACAGGAAGTGGGGCTGGGATCTGAACCGGGGCAAAGTCTGAGCCTTTAGCCTGCAGCTAGGGATGGCAGCTGTCACCCCCAGTGGGATCTCCACCCAAGCATACCAGAAGCACAGCTTCGGGCCCACAGGGGGGCGGCACTCAGGGAGAGCGAGGCCACATCTGTGTGGCCTTGGGGTGAGGAGGCCTTGGCTGCCATCCTGGGCCGTGTCCCTGGAGAGGCCCTGCCCCGGGAGAAGGGGAGAAAGCACGGCCTGGCCTGCCGCCTTTGGCAGTGTGAGTCACTGCAGGGGCGGGAGAGGATGGATGGGAGGGGACAGACCGTGGGAATCAAGACAGCTCTTGCCAGAGGGGGAGGGGAGGCAGCAGACAAGGAGGGCTCTCCAGGCTCAGGCTTGCTGCAGCCCCCTGGGGTGGCCTCAACCCAGCCTCCCCTCCTCTCATCCATGTCTCCAGCCCCAGCCCCCCAACCTGGCCTCCTGGGGGCTGGCCCTGTCCCTTCTTCTCACACACAGCCTTGACCCTCGCCCAGGGGGAGGAGTGCTCCCTGGACGTCTGCTCATCACCCACTGGACCTTTATTTTCAGGGGCCCACAGGCCGCTGGAGAGAAGGAATGTGTGAGCCCGAGGTGGGCACGCCCATGGCAGGAATTAACCGGGAGCCTCGGGGACCTTCGGGGACCTCAGAGAAGGTTGGGCTGGGCTCCACATTCCACTGTCTGGGTATCATCTGGGGCTCAGGGAAAAACATGGGGATCCACAGGCCGCAGGGAGGAGTGACCTCAGGCTGGGGACTCCATAGGGGACTCCCACAAGGCCCCTCCGGCACCCCTCTGTCACAGTGCCCAAGGCCAACACATATGACCCATAACGGGCCTCCTGCTCATATTCAACTCAGCCTGAGACAGCTACACCCCTCACCCACTGGGATCCTTCAATTTCCCTGACTGCCACCAGCTGCCCCCTCCCCAGCACACACCCCGCCCCAACACACCACACCACAGCCTCAGCAAGGCAATCTCAGCACAACTCAGAAGCTGAGGCAGGATAGCTGCCTCCAAATCCCCCTGTCTGCCTTGCCGGCTGTGTGATCTTGGATGAGGAACTTACCCTCTGTGCCTGGGATGGGGATGGAAGGCAGCTGTGGGCACTGAGACCTGTGACATGTCCTGTGTGTGACAGGCACTCCACGGGTACTACTGTTTACCCCACCTCTGCCATGCGTATCAAAGACTAAATACCAGCAAATATTTGCTGAAGGAGTGAATGAAAGCTGGCCTTAGCCAGGCGTGGTGGCACACACCCATAATCCTAGCGCTCAGGAGGCTGAGGCAGGAGGATCACTGGGAGTTCGAGGGCAGCCTGGGCTACATAGTGAGTTCAAGGCCAGCCTGAACTACACAGCAAGATCTTATCTATAAAATAAGTAAAGTTAGCTTTGGCACTCACTTTGCCAACCATGGCCTCCTCCGGAGTTTACTTCAAACCCACTTTCTCTGCCACACTCCACCCACTGCAGGCCCCTGGCCAGTAGCACACAGACCTGTCACCACTCTCCCTCAACTGCAGGGCCATCAGTGCAGCCGTGGCCTCTGGCACGCCTGCCACACCGGCACCTGTCCGCCACTGCCCCCTAGATCGTACCCAACGCACACCTGTGCCACCCCCTCCTGCACTCGGTTTGCGCATCTCTGCACCTCTCCCCCTGCGCCCCTTGCCCTGGACGCACCTGGAGGTTGCGCTTGCGCTCGCAGGCCGGGCCCGTGCCCTGCACCACGCTGTCCAGCACCGCCACCACCCCGGCCGCCGGCTCCACGAAGCAGGCGGCGCGTGCGGAGCGGATAGCAGCCTGCACGTCGGCGAAGAGGAAGGCGCAGAGTGCGGCGGGAGCAGGCGCGGTGCGGGGCGCGGGGATCGCCGGGGGCCGCTCGAAGACGCCGAAGAGGCGCTCTCGCGCGGGGAACACGGACACCAGGCGGCTGTAGAGGTCACCGCGGCCCGCGCCTCCCGCGCACTGCAGGCCTAGCTCAATGTAGGACTCAGTGAGCTTCTTGGCGTCGCCGCGCGGCAGGCAGATGCGCGCCAGCAGGCTCCGCGCCTGGCCGTCCTTGTCGCCCGCTCGCGCTTCGCTAGTGAACGCCAAGTAGGCGTAGGGCTGCACACCCGGCGGATGCAGGAAGGCGCGCACGAAGCGCAGCCGGTGCCGCTCCTTGGCGCCCTGCTTGATCTTAAGCACATTGTCGTCCGACGGGTTCAAGTCGAAGGTGAAGAGCCGCGCCGGGTCGCCTTGCGCGTCCAGGGAGCGGATGGCCACCTCGGGAGTGTTCTCGAAGCGGTGGTCCTCTAGGCTGCGGTTGCGCGGGAAGAAGGCGCTGCCGAAGCCCGTGTATGTGGCGCCCACGAGCAGCCGACTGCCCCGCGCGCCCGCGGCGGGCGGCAGCACGAGTGCCACGGTGGAGGCGTCGGCGTGGTTGGCAGCCACATTGAGCATGCTGGGGAACACGGCTACGGGCGCGGCGGGCGGCGCGGCGGGCGGGAAGCGCACGGCCAGCGCTGAGATGTTGCCCCGGCGCCGCAGCTGACAGAAGCCCTGGAATACCGAGCCGCATGCCACCACCAGGCCCTGGCGCTCGTCCAGCTGCAGGATCTTGTTGTGGTTGTCGGTGAGGCGCCGCGGGTGCTCGCACGAGGCCTGCGGCAGCTGCGGCGCGTGGCACAGCGGGCTGTCGCGCACGGGGCCCACGGCCGCCTCATCCTGTAGGCTCAGGTCGCCGCCCGACAGCTGGTACAGGCGGTTCACGGCCGCCAGGTACACGGTGCCCGACGCACCGTCCAGCGCGAAGTTGTTGGTGGGCGTGGGCGAGGCGAAGCGGCGCTGCACCTCCAGTCCGCGGGCCGGGGCGGCGAGCAGGAGCAGGAGCAGCAGCGCCCCCGGCCGGGCGAGCCCCGCGCGCGACGACGGCGGAGAGGATGAGAGCGGCGGGGCGCGGGCCGCGGGCGCCCGGGCGCGGCGA